TGTTATATCTGACCGACATGGTGGGATTATTGCTGCAATGACTGACACGAATGTTGGATTTCATGAGCCACGGGCCTCTCACAGGTTTTGCGTTCGACACATGGCCTCTAACTTGAGGACTTATGTGAAGAACAACAACATGAGAGATAGGTTCAAGCTAGGCTGCTACTTACCAACATAAAGAAAAAAAATTTGATGAAGATATACGTTCCATTGTTGAATCTTGTGTCAAGTCCCAAGAGTACATTATGGATGTGCCGTTTCGCAGGTGGTCCTTGTTTCATGACGCTGGTCGTAGGTATGGAATATGTACTACAAATATCTCAAAGAAATTTAACAATGTGTTGAAGGGAGCTCGTTTTCTGCCGATCATGTCCCTATTCGAGTTAACTTTCCACAGAGTTAACAAGTATTTTAATATAAGAAGGGATAATTCACTTGCTAGGCGTGCCGAGGGATATGCATACTCACCTAAGGTCACTTCCATTTTGGAGAAGAATAACGGAAAAGCAAAATACCATACAGTGGATGTTTATAGCCGTCAGCTTGGTATATACCAAGTAAAAACACATCGGGGAGAGAGGGTAGGCAGAAAAGGAGGTCATAAGCATACCATTAACTTCAATTTGAGAACATGTACATGCAACAAGCCTATGATATTTCACCTACCGTGTTCTCATGTTCTAGCCGTGTGTCTTAAGTATTCAGTTTCTGAGGAACCATGGGTGGACAGTTTTCTACGATCAGAGGCGTATGCGAATATGTATGCCCCACAGTTCTGGCCTATTCCTTGTGAGACGACGTGGAATACATACAGAGGACCTAAAATCATTCCTGATGAGAGCATGGTTCGAGGACATAATCGGACAAAGTTGAAGCGTATACGAAATGATATGGATAAGACTAACCGTCCACCAAGCAAATGTGGTCATTGTCATCAGGAAGGACACAATAAGAGAACTTTTCCGTTTCGAACGGGCGGTGACTGGTATTGGTCTTAGTTTATGTCTTATTTTAATACCATGTTGTGTGAACCATGTTTTCACTTAGGATGTAGCTGATTTCTTGTTTTGCATTGTGCAATGAACAAATATCATGGAGGGACACGATCAGGGACCGCCACAAGCTGACCCAGGACCAGCTGACCCTTCTGTCCTGAAACTTCAGGACACCCATCGGAGCCGTGACATATGGGAGCAGTCAATAAGTTTTCATCTACCAAATCTTTATTTTTTTTTTGCAATTTTTATGTTAATTGATCTAATAATGTAATTTTGTGGGTTGTACAGGTTGATCCAGCATGGTGCTTGCTTTGCATGCACCACGTTGGCAGGGCGGGAAGATTGGGTCGTCGACCCGCGTGTACTACATTACATCGATTTTGTGGGTTTTTGCGGATTTTATAGGATGGCCTTCACACCTATAGATCGAGTGCTAATTACTGCGCTCGTTGAGAGATGGAGACAGGAGACTCACTCCTTCCATCTACCAGTTAGGGAGGCCAACGTCACGCTCCGAGATGTGGCAATACTGACATGACTCCCAATACGTGGTAGGGCAGTGATAGGGCCCATTATACTGGACCTTCGTGGCCTTGTTGAGAGGGTGTTAGGGTTGAGGCCTGAGGACGCCGATATTAGAGGCACAGGGCTGAGACACATGTGGTTACGAGAGACATTTGGGGTGTTGCCTCCTGATGCTGATGATGGAGTCGTTCAGAGATACGCTTGAGCGTACCTGTTCATGTTGATAGGATCTTTATTTAGTAATAAGAGTGGTAGTCACATATTGTTGATCTACCTACAGCTGTTAGAGAACAGCTGGGAGCGGATACCTGACTACAGCTGGGGTAGTGCGTGTCTGGCGACCTTGTATCGCCATCTTTGCAAAGCATCCCAGCGAGATAGATGGGAGATCGGCGGTCCCTTGATTGTGCTTTAGGTAAACATTTAATTTTATACCATTTTTTAACTATAACGTATTTTACAGTGACTAAACTTAACTTGTGTTTTTTATTACAGTTATGAGCTTGGGAGCACATCCACATTGGTAGGCCAGCTATGGCTACTAGCCGTCGACGACAGGATGGCCAGGAGGAGGAAGACGATCAGGAACATGCATATGAGGCTCTGCCACTCCCTCCACCAGACGTGGCATACGGTTGCAGGTATGTATGACTTATTGTTAAGTTTTCCACATACCGCTTTATTTTGCTAATAATTTCTCATGAACGCAGTTATTATATATAATTAGGTGGCTGGTGCGGAGACTTACTCGTGTGCATGCAGCGAGGGGTCTACCGTATTACAGAGACGCATTCGACAGACTAAACGAGTCTCAGGTGATCAATTACACTATAAAAACTAATTTAACACCCCGCTCATTGTTTCAATAAGTTAATTATGATGTTACTGATGGCGTGTTAATGCAGATGACGTGGGATACGTACGTCACTGACTTAGTCGATGTCATGCCCCCATATCTACGTGATCATCAGATGGAGTGACGTGCCATGATAGTCCTCATCTGTTTTGAGGTAGTGGAGGCTCACCTCCCCGATAGAGTCATGCGACAATTCGGCCTTCGCCAGGCCGTCCTCGCCACGTGTGACATGAGTGTGCACTTGCACAGGACACACCAACAAGGAAAGGGGGACGTGAGCTGGGCAGTTCAGCATGCCCCTTTCATTGACATGTGGGATCAGCGGTTGTAGCACGTCGTGGATGGTGTGCCTTTCCATGGCCGAATGGAGTTTCACGATCTATACATGGTATGGTACAGGAGCATTACCCGACGCTTCATCAACCCTAACTACACCCCACCCTCAACTCATTATCAGCCAGCTTTTGGAGACATCAGTGGATATGTGAGTTTTACATGGATTTTTTTTTTTTTTTTTTTTTATCAATTTATAATTTATGATATTATTAAATTAACTGATTGTTGACTTATGCAGGCGTTTGATATGCTGGCTATACATGATGCACTGGGAGTCTTGAGCATATCATATCCCACCATACCGCAGATAGATGAAATTCAGGCAATGACTGTGAGTAGCTTACAAAGACATGGTCATGGTCATCTTATCCAAGGCCAGGACCAATTACAGCAGCGTTCACACCGTCAGGTAGGCGAGAGTAGTAGGGGATAGACTCACACGTCTCCTACAGCGTCCTCGCAGTTTTTTGACAGTCAGGAGGATTTCGCTGTACCCTTATCTGCGCCATACTCATCATAGGTGGTACAATCATCCAGCCAACAGACTCCTCCCCAGACTTCTGTCCCAGATCCTTTCACAACGGTATCTCATTACTATCGTCGTCGGAGATCGCGAGTTGATAGACAACAATTACGTCGAATAGATGAATCAGGATCTTAGAATTTCTTTTGTTAGTTTGTTATAATCGGATTCTCTAGTACGTTGTATCCAAACAAATATTATCAATATTACTGACTTTTTTAATTGATTTTCTGTCCATTATCAATTTCACCATACGCATTCATTCCTTTCATTGAACTGGTTGTTTTTGTTTTTGTTGTTGTTGTTGCTGTTGTTGATGATGTTGTTGTTGTGATTGTTGTTGTTGTTATTGTTGTGGTTGTTGCTGTTGCGGTTGTTGCTTTTGTTGTTGATGTTGATGTTGTTGCTGCTGTTGCTGTGTTTGTGGTTGGTGTGGTGTTGTTGCTGTGTTTTAGTTCTAGGGTAAAATGCCAACCAGGCTGGCGTTTTTACCTTGGCCAAATTTTTAAAATTTCAGTTAGGGTAAAAATGCCACCCTGGATGGCTTGGCTGAAATTTAAAAAAAAAAATTGTCCAGGGTAAAAACGCCACCCTAGATGGCGTTTTACCCTTAAAGCTTAGTTTGGTAAATAGTTTTGCCACGCATCTACTATGGAGTATTGTTTCTCAATAAAAGCTTCCTTTGGTCATTTTTCCTAGAGCAAAGGGGTTAAATGAAGGGTTTGGATCTACGGTTTATAGTTTCGATTACTCTAAAATGGTTGGTTGGTTAAATGAAGGGTTTGGATCTACGGTTTACGGGTCAAACCAATTCAGTTCCAACTCAATTCAATGTTTACACCTGTACATACACGTGTCATTTATTTTCCTCCTTAGTTTTCCCTTTTCTCTTTTTGGAACCTTTTCACTTTGCAATGCACGGCACTGTACACTCTTCCCCTCTCTCACCTCCATTGAAGCTTACTCTGAAGCTCCATTGAAGCGGCTTCTGAGCTTTCTCTCTCCTCCACTGAAGCAGCTTCTGAGGTACGACGTTTTTATTTTTTATTTTATTTCGTCGAATATCAATTATTTCATACTCTAGGGTTTATCGTTAGTTTAATTGCCAGTATAGTCAATTTAGGGTTCATCTAATGTGGATTATTGAACTATTGGTTATAATTACTGAAGTTATGAAAGATTATAACGAGCAATTTTGTTGATATTCTTAAGCGAGAAGAATTTTATGTTATTTTTGGAGCCTAATTTTGATGATTGAGCCTAATTTGAATGCTTTGAGCAAGGGAGGGTTATAGGATAATAGGAGTTTTGGAGATTGAGAATTTGAGATGAAGAGATTTTTGAATTACTTATCAATTTTTAACATTCTAGCAAATATAGACTATTCCAAGTGCTAGTATAGTGAGTAAAGAATGAAGAGAAAGAAGAGCAAGGTTTCGATAATCGATATTAATGGCTTAATGGTGAAACCTTGAAGATGAAGATCTTAGTGGATGTAGCAGGAATTGTATAATTCGCTCCTATAGAATTAATGTATGGACAAGTAATTGCCTGTGCTTTACTGAGAATATATGTTCTGTTCTGTTCTGTTTTCGTCCAAAGTCATTAAAAGTTATGGACTTTTTGTTAAGCAAAGAATTGGGATTAAATTTGTATGCATTTTGTATAATGAAAAAAGGGGAAGCTGCTGCTTTTCGAACTAATTAAGCTACTACAGCATTGAGGTGGGTAGTTATAGATTGAAGTCATTGAACCTATTGGACAGTGTATAAAGTTTATCCTTGATGATATGTTTACTTATTTGGTTCAGTTTGGTGACCTATTTTTAAATGTTCTGTGGGTTAGTCTAATAATAAGATCATCAATGTAGCTGTCCACGAGTCTAATTAATCACTTTGCAAATCCATTATTACCAGTCCCTTGTTGATATCCCCTTTTTATATATTTTAGTGAAGTGCTGTATATGTTTTGAGTTTTGTTTTTTCTTCTTTTTCAATTGTATAGTGTGATCGCTAAAGTTGGTTCTTTTTCTAAAAAGAATGCATATGTTGTTATAAAAATATTTAATATGATTGTATATGATTTATGGTCTAGAACTCTAGATACCCCTCAAGTTTTATCTATTGGATTTAGGACTTTAGGAGTAAATCTTTGACAATCCTTGACTTGAGATTATTCTGAAAGTTTAATTTCATTTTAGATGTGAAAATGTACTTGTGTATTGTTTTCAATTCTAAGGAAATTACAAGAATGAGTCAGTTTGGGGTGAGGATGCAATAGATTATTGATTTTTGTTGAACTTGTTGGTAAGATATTGAGTTATCTTAAGTGATCTGTTAAGAGTATCTTTAAATTAGAAGCAAGGCCTTTTGGCTTAGGATTTACTTATTTTGTTGTTGATTAGTAATAAAAGAGATGTTTAGAAATTAATGATTACTCGTACGATCTTTTTTCTTTTCTTGGCAGACGTTGAAATTTCTGATTACTTTTGTTTTTTTATTGTATGGCATGAATTAAACAGTGCTGCATGGTTACTATTGGTTGGCTCATTGGTTGATGACCAAGATTAGCAATATATATGGGTCGTAATGTATTATCTCAGGTTTAGGGACATATAGGTGGATGATCAAGTTTAGCATCAATTTGTCTATAGTGCGTTTTCTCGTAATTTGGCTCATAGGCTGACTTGAACTTACTATTAATCTTGTTTTTGGTCGAATGTAGAATGCTGTCTTAGTCTTACTAAAGACAATAGAGAAGAAAAAGAGAGTGAAGATTCCCCAGTAAGTGGAGTGTGTTACTGCAAGTTGGTTTTGTGAAAGAAATATGGTAGAGCGATTCTTTGATGGCGGTAGCACCAACTCTGTTACCACTGTTGCTGTACAACCTCAAGAAGGCTGTTGCTTTACATCTGATCCAATTACGCTGCTCACTGGCCCTCCATCCTGGTACTCATTCTCTTAGTCTTAAGTAATGCAAGTTCCTAAGTATGTATCTAGAAGTCAACAAATTTTAAGAAAAATGTTTTTTTTTTTTTTTTTTTTTTTTTTTTTTTTTTTTTTTTTCAGTGGGAAGACATCACTTCTATTTCAGTTCGCTTTGAACATGGCAGCTCACTGTCAGTCCACGTCACAGGGATACATTGTCTTTATCTGCAATCGTCGCCGTTTTGAAACCAAACCTCCTTTCCTCTCTCAGGTCTCTTCTCTTCCCCTTAAACCCCTGTTCTCCTGCACATGCTGACTTGCTGATTTATATAATTGATTATGGAGTAGTAAAAGTGTCTATCCAATTCCAGGGAGTTGATGCTTCTTCACATATCTTTCAGCGAATTCATATCAAGTTAGTTACTACTGCTTCAATTACTAATGATAGTTTTGCATTGGTTGACTTGCATTTCTTTTTCCATAATTTTCTTTTTTAATTTTTAATGTCTGTGGCTTTTGTGGTTCCCTGTTCCCAGGTATATAGATGATTATGATGATGAAGGCATCAAGAAATTTTTTGCTGCCTTCCATCTTCTTCATCCTTTGCCCATTGCTGTTATTATTGATGATTTTGGTGACTTCTTTCTTGAAAGGTATAATTTTCTCCCTCTCTCTTTCTCTAACTTAATTTACTCTTGTTGAAAGTCAGAGCTTGCATCCTTCATTTGATTACACAGTTTAGAAAGAATGGCCTTATGACGCGTTAACTTTGGGTGCCTGATGAAAATTACATGTTAATCATGACTTGCATAATACTAAAATTTCCTTTATACTGGATAAAGCAAGTGTCAAATGAAGTATAATAATCCTCGTGGAAGGGACTTAGCCGTGGTCCGAGTTTTAGCCCTTTGTCATAGTGCAATCATCCATGCCAGGTGAGTTTTAAGAGTCCTTTTACAACTAAATAAATTTAATTGCAAATTCCTTTGCTTGCCTTTGCAAGTACTGATTTACCACCTATATGACATTAGTCCCTCTGTTTTTGGAATTCTGTCACCAGTAAAACAACAGCTTGCCAGCTTTTGCTCTCTGATACGTATCATGGAGACTTTCCTAGACAATTTATCTACAAAAGATGGATTTTGTCTATTTTTACAGTCCAAGGTAGGTGGGTTCATTGAATTTTAGGCCGGGAGATAGAGAGAGAGAGAAATGCAGTGAATGAGTTTGATGTAATAATTCTTGTTTTTGGTCAAAGGTGAAGGTGATGGATCTGGCTCATTTCTTCTTAAACATAGTGTGCATGTGCAAGGAAAGAGCGTAGGAAAAAGGAGTGCTAGATACTCTATAGCACTTCAGTACCTGGTTTTGGAGGGAGTCAGGGAAGACACACAGATTTGAATGTGTGATGTAATATGTCACTTGGTTAGTTTTATCTACTCTAAATGCTTCTCAAATCTGAAAACTTGTATATGCAAACTAATTCTAGGTGTTGGGAACTTGCAATATTTCTACCCCAGTATATGAGATTAGCATGTACTGTTTTTTTTTTCCCCCCTTAGAGATAGCTACGTCTGTGTTTCATGTGGGTTATCAACTGGTTGATCTTTTTACAGCTCGTATACTATAAAGCAGGTCTTTCAAACTGTTACTTGTGGAAACATTACTTTATAAAAGAATGTTTACAGTCCTTATCACCAAGTAAGTTGAACCTTATGTCAACATCAACAGAGTCGATTTTGTAAAAAGAAAAAAAAAAAAAAGAAGTATGCCCAATGTTAGGTTTTACATGTCTTAATACTTAAATTCAAGAGTAAAATTTGATTACAAATGGCATGCCAAGTGTAGAGAATTCACTAAATGTCACATCAAGTGTTGGCATACAGGACAACCAAGTAGCTACTGTAGAAGTTGATGTAGCTAAACATGGTGTTTGCACAATTTCTGGTATAGTGATGTAAGGACACGCCAAATCCTCGAAAGCTTCACTGTATAGGTTGAGAGGTTATGTGGGTCGTTTGCATTTGTTTTGTTATGATTGTGTAGTATCTGAGTATTTCTGTTGTATCTGTGCAATTAATATAGGACAAGTACTTCAATAATTAAAATATTTGTCCAATTAGAACAGCTAACTTGATTTTGAGACGAACCTATATATTTTCACTCAATTAAAACCTGATTTGGTTATTCCACTATTTCCCTTTACAATTGCTGCTATTTATCTTTTTTGCATCTACACTTCTGTTTTTAACGCATTGTGACATTGACGATGACAACTTTTCGATTGTTTTGGCACTTGAAAGATTTGCTTTTAGTTCTGTTTTTGATGGGCAATTTAACTGAACAGTCATTGGATTATTGTGTCAGCTTCTGGAGGATCAATCCATCACTCCTCCACCAATTATAATGTGATATGAAGGTTTGGGTGCGTGTTCATGTGGTTACCTTTAGCCTGTGATTTTCAAAACAAGCTGACGTTGATCGCAATGGTAAACTTTTTTTCATTTAAGTTTTTTTGTTTGTTGTTCTAGCACCCTGTTTTCTATAACATATACTCCATTCAATTTCTTTATTCATTCTACTATCATAGCATGATGAACTTGTTGAATCCATTGGATGTGGTACCCACTTCCTAGGGTGCGTTTAAGTAGTTCTTTGGTTAATTATAAAATATATATTTCCTAAGATGCCTTGGAAGCTGTATCTCCATGTACTTTAATTTATAGGAAGCATGAACTCTTGTTTGTTTGATAGTTGGAAGAATGATTTTCTATGGAAAGTTTTACTTACCTAGGGAGACCTAGTTAAGCAACAACTTTCTTTTTATGGAAAGTAGAACCTCCTATGTTTCTCCAACCAAACAACTTTGCATTCTCTCACTTCCTATGAAATTCTACTAATTGATTTTTTTTTTCTAATCTTTTATTTTAGTCAAATCAAACAAATACCTAATAAACATGTCTCGCTAAACTTCCTATTAGCATAGAATTTGAAACTTAAAATACGCCTCTTTACTCTATTTATATTATTTGACCACTTAATTAACTTTTCTCATTTCATATCATTTCTGATACAAAATATGGATATATTATCATTTATTTGTTTAAAATATCAATGTATTATTACTTGTTAGTTTTAACTACTTATACATCGAATAACATGTTTTGAAAATTTGTCTTTAACCTTACTTTTGTTGTCTTGCACCTTTGCACCTATCTTTAGCAACAAAAGTTTCAAAGTCTACTTTAGTAAATTTTCAAAATAGCTATTACATCAAACTCTATTCTCAATTTGAAATTTAAGATTATTTTTGAATTATTTATTTATTATTTTTTATGATTTAATTGTTGTGAAAGTATTACTTAGGTCTTTAAACGTTATGAAAGCACTTTAGGAAAAAGTTAGTTAATGCATTGGTATTCGAAACTGACTAGTAATAGTGCATTGATATTTTGAATGAACAAATAATAATAGATCGATAATATAACAAGAAAAATTATGTGAGATGAAAAAAGTTAGTAAAGTGGTCGAATAATATGCTATACTCATGCCTTCTAGAATGTGAGTACTCCATAGAATATTCTATACTCATGTCTAGAATGGAGATTGTAAGATTTGTAACGCTTGTAAGGAGTCAAAGGGAATTTAAGTGGATATAGACTTACAAGGAAGCACTAACCCAAAACAATTAAACACATTGAACTTATAGTTTTGGTAGAAATTAAACTTTCAATCTCATTGTTGGAGATGACACTACCAACTCCCATTAGATATTCTACTAGTTTGTTGCTCTGTCGATCTAGGTTGATTGCTCATTACTATTTCTATTTTTATATTAATGTGTACTAATTTTGGGTTTGAGGGGTACCTTACTACACTTTGTTGCTGGCACGCATTAGGAGATTATCCTCCAAAAACATTTGTGAATATGCGATTAATAGTTTTTTCAATATAGAGTGAACATTCAGTTTAGGTTTGCAAAGTTTTGACTTTTGAGCAAAAATTTGGACAGTAATCTTCCTTTGAGGGCATGCTTCGAAAGTAGGGAATTTATTAGGTAGTAGTACAGTTGAGGTGTTTAATGGAATGAGGTAGTGGTGGACCTGGTGGTGTGATCTTTGAACTATGGATTTGTGTGGCTGCTTGGCGCAATTAAAGTGAGTTGGGCAAGAGTTTGTGTGTCAAAGTAGCAGCTGTTTGCATCTATGTTTCCCAGCAAGCAAATTCTATTTAACCCCTTAAGCAGCTTGGGATTAGCTAGGTCAAGTTAGATATTGATGGGAGTCATTTGAGGAGTCAAGGCTGCACCAAAGCTATTTCTGATCACCTTCTCTAAGCTGGCGCATTCTTTCACTTCAGATTTCATAAACTATATGTAAAGCCCTACTGAAAGAACATTAGGCTTTCATTGTTTGTTGCATTTATGCTTATTTGGACTCTTGTTAGGTGTGAAGTTTCTAAAGCTTTTGCTATGTTGATTTTAATAATGAGTTTATGATAGAACAATGTATACTACAAGAGGGGGGTGAATTGTAGTGTATGTAGACTATGGTAAATTTTGCGGAATTAAATCTACTACTAAGAGAAAAGACACTGATATAGGCAATGAATAAATTCACTCTGTAAAAATGATTTACGATCACTAATACGTTGCCTAGACTCAAGTTCCGTGAGGAACTCAAGTTACCCAACTGTGATCCCTCAATCACAGTTTCTCACACTTTGTGATTCTACTCCGAATCACTTGTACAGTGTAAACAACTCTCTCAAGTCTCACACTTTACAACTCTCACAACCCAAACCCTATTACACAATGATTACAAGTATTTCCTAAAGAACTTAAGAGACTAAGGATGGAAGGAACTTCTCTTTTAAACACTTTGAAACTCTATGCTCAGAATACTTAAGATTGTTTTTCCACGCTTTCAAAACTTAACGTTGATCTGTTTTTATAAGGAGTTAAACCAAGCTTCCATCAAGTTCCCACTTCCCCCTTAATCCCACGTTCTCTTTGACTGAGAAGTTGGGATGTAGGCAGAGGAAATTTAGGAACATGATTTCCCTAGCTTGACTCCTAAATTCAACGTGCTCCTTAATTTAAGCAGCCAATATTTACCAAGTTAAAAATCAGTTAAAGACTTATTCAAAAGATAATTATTATTTATTAAAAAAAGATAATTATTTATTTATTAATTAAAACATAAATAATTAATTAATTTAAAACTTATCTTTTTAAATTAATGAATTATTTATTTATTTATAAAATCTTTTTAAATTTTTTTTCAAAACTGATTTTTATCACTTCCTTAAATTAAGGGTTTTTAAAAACCGTTTTAAAACTTTCGTTTAAAACTTTCTGAGTCATTCGTCTTCGAGTTTCTTCTTAATTCCTTCCAACACTTTTGTTTCTTAAGTTCGTACACTGAGTAACTAAGAATATAGAGTTGTGAGGACATCTTGAAAGATGTCCTCACAACTCTATATTCTTAATAACTTATGAGACTATATTCTTAGTTACTTGAAAGCTTTCAAGATGTCCTCACAACTCTATATTCTTAGTTACTCAGTGTACGAACTTAAGAAACAAAAGTGTTGGAAGGAATTAAGAAGAAACTCGAAGACGAATGACTCAGAAAGTTTTAAACGAAAGTTTTAAAACGGTTTTCAAAAACCCTTAATTTAAGGAAGTGATAAAAATCAGTTTTGAAAAAAGATTTAAAAAGATTTTATAAATAAATAAATAATTCATTAATTTAAAAAGATAAGTTTTAAATTAATTAATTATTTATGTTTTAATTAATAAATAAATAATTATCTTTTTTTAATAAATAATAATTATCTTTTGAATAAGTCTTTAACTGATTTTTAACTTGGTAAATATTGGCTGCTTAAATTAAGGAGCACGTTGAATTTAGGAGTCAAGCTAGGGAAATCATGTTCCTAAATTTCCTCTGCCTACATCCCAACTTCTCAGTCAAAGAGAACGTGGGATTAAGGGGGAAGTGGGAACTTGATGGAAGCTTGGTTTAACTCCTTATAAAAACAGATCAACGTTAAGTTTTGAAAGCGTGGAAAAACAATCTTAAGTATTCTGAGCATAGAGTTTCAAAGTGTTTAAAAGAGAAGTTCCTTCCATCCTTAGTCTCTTAAGTTCTTTAGGAAATACTTGTAATCATTGTGTAATTGGGTTTGGGTTGTGAGAGTTGTAAAGTGTGAGACTTGAGAGAGTTGTTTACACTGTACAAGTAATTCGGAGTAGAATCACAAAGTGTGAGAAACTGTGATTGAGGGATCACAGATGGGTAACTTGAGTTCCTCACGGAACTTGAGTCTAGGCAACGTATTAGTGATTGTAAATCATTTTTACAGAGTGAATTTATTCATTGCCTATATCAGTGTCTTTTCTCTTAGTAGTAGATTTAATTCCGCAAAATTTACCTTAGTCTACATACACTACAATTCACCCCTCCTCTTGTAGTATACATTGTTCTATCAGTTTATTTGCTGCGAACTTGTGTTTGCTCAAAACTTGAAATGTTGGACTGGCTTATATTTTCGTTCATTCAAGACATTGTATGCACCGAATTCTGTGAGTTGAGCTTGTGGTAGCTAATACTCTCATGTATTGCGTAACAATCCACCCAAGCTCCAAAAATCGCCTGAATTTTAGTTTAAGCAACTTGAGCAACAGTCTGGATCAAGACATTGAATTTTGTAGCTTTATTAGCGTGCATGCAGTTCATGTACAATAAATGTTGAGTACTACATTATTAATTGCTATTTCCTGGCTCATTTGCTCAATTTCAAGAATTCCAAATGAGTAAATAAGCAAGAATAGGCTTGGTTGTACCATACAAGGCACATGGTATAAATTGTTGTACTATTGATACTTTGGTCTTTGCCAGTTGGTTACTGTATTAGTATACATAATATTACATATCAAGGTTATAGATTGGAAGAAAATTAACTACAAAGTCAAAGAAAAAAGAACCAAGAATCATAGGAGCATCCAGTAGAAAATTGAAAGAAAGAAGATACTTATTGTGGCAGTGCTGCAAGAGGACTTGGACATGGACATGGACATCTGGGCATCAGTGCACTCAAGGCCACGCTTACTGTCACGGCAAACGTTGGCAAAAAGGCCAGGTGGGTATTTTCCATAGAGATTGATGTAACTAAATAAGGTGGTTGCACAATTGTTGGTAACGTCGTTTAGGGTTGGAGTGTAAGGGCATGCCAATTCCTTGAAAGCCCCACAACATATGTTGGCTGGATATTTGGGTCCTTTGCATCTGCTTGTTATGATCGTGTAGTTCCAGTGCTGAACATCTAGTGGGCAATCTGCAACAAATATCAAGGTTAAATTTTAGTGTCATTTTGAGTTTTGGCATTGTTTGTACGTATTTTTTTATTAATGATCAACAGTTTTTACAAATGAATTAAAGTCAACCAGCTGTTTATGATGAAGAGTGAAGGATTCTTAGTCAAGTGCTATACTGGACAAGAGCTGGCAATAGCCGGAAAGATGAAGTCAATATTTTTTAATGCTTCTAGTACGTGTATGACTTTTTCTAGTAAGATGGTTTTGCTGAATTTGGAAGCCAGTCCTAATCAGTACTCAATCCGTTCTGTTTTGTTCGTCTTGATTGGATTACTCTGTATTTTACTTTCAAATATGCAGTACTTGTAACAAGCGAAAAAGACGGGTTCATTTGTGTGCTGATGAGGTTTACCTTTTGTAGCTTGAAGAAGATGTCGGCCTACAGAAAATCGAGGGTGTTGTAAATCATCTGTTCAGAAGTAATAGACACGTTAGTAGTATTCAGTACGGAGTGTATGTTAGCATAGGATGCACGCAAGACATTCTAAGATAGGGATATAAACCAGCATGGCCTATAGGAGTTCCCGCCGTGCAAAATTGTTAGAATAGAAGAAGATTGTGATGATTCTAACCTGAGGGATTTGCCGAAGCTATAGGAAGTAAAAGTAAAAGAATCATGAATGTGACTGATGCCACAGCAATCCCAGTAGTAGAAGAATGAAAGAACTTGATCATGTCCCGTGAGCTCCTTATACTCTTCTCGGTTGCCATCGACATGAATTTTGAAAGTTCACAGATATTTAGGTGAGCTTTGTCGTTCGCAGATTTTCAGTAAGAGAGAAGTGTTTATTTACATAATTGGATGAAGTGAGGCAATATTGACTAAGTCAATTGATTGAGACTTTGAAAGTGTTGTTCGTGGAATTAGTATCATTGCCAGCCTGCCATATGTAGTTTATCCACCGAACTGTGTGTTCGGTACAACGTACTTCAGATACTAGAAACACTAGTTAGAAAACTAGTAAACTACATATATACAAAGTACATATATAGAGGTGTTAAAACCGAACTGGTCTGAAAAAAATTATCTGTTTCAAACTGTAACTGATCCGATTTGACCCGGGAAATTCAGGACCCAAATTTGATCTGTAACCGACCAGAACTTAATCCGAATCCGAATCTAACCCGATCTAAACTGAACCTGGTACCGATTTAACCCGACTTGAACTCAACCCGAACCGATATGACCCGACTTGAACTCAAACCGAACCGATTTGACCCGACTTGAATTCAACCCGATCCGAAAATGACTCGACAAATAACCGATTTAATCCGATCTGTTTTAACCCGAACTGATATTAACTCGACCCGATTTTAAATTGATCCGATTTTAAACCGATCTGATTCTAATCCGGCTATAATTTTAAACCTAACCTATTATTGACCTTTTTTTTTCCTTCATGTTCTTATACTACTATATATTTACAAATTTACTAATTATTGATAAGTTAGAAAGTCTAAAACTTTAACAAATATCTTATACAAATTGAATTAGTAATAAAGCAAACTAATAGTACTCATAGCTAGGGCTTAGCAAAACTATCCGAAAATCCAAAATTCCAATCTGCATCCGATCCGAAAATTTAGGATAACCGATCCGAAAACATTTTCGGATCGGGTATCCGTTCCGAAAATTTCAGATATCGGGTATCGAAAATTTCGATTTCGGATATCCAAATATCTGAAAAAAGTCGGATATCAGATATTGGATTGGATACCCAATCCGAAATTCGAAAAAAAAACTTTTTTTTTTTTTACCATTTTAAAAAAATCCGGATAACCCATTAACCCTAAGACCTAACTCACCTAAGTCCCTAATCAGTAATCCGCTTCGTTCTCTTTCTCCTCTATTTTCTCCCTCTTCCCTCCTCTCTCCTCTCTCATCTCAGATTCTCAGATCTCCCTCCTCCCTCCTCTCAGATCTCCCTCTTCGTCTTCTGCTCTGTAGGTTGCTCGCGAAAATGGTGGTGATGGTGGTGTTGCCGTATTGGAGGAGGAGCCGTCAATGACTTCACACAGTTATTCGGCGCCGAGTTTTGTGGTTTATGAGATGAGAGAAGAGAGTTTGAGTACGGTTTGCCAGGTTTCGCAGGGGGAATTACGGCAGAGAATTTTTAGTAGTGGCGGAGATTCAATTCCGGTAGTAGAGGTATCGGAAACCGAGGCGAATTCGAATTCGAGACCTAATCTTGTTAATGGGAAGTTGGTGAATTGCTCGCGAAGATTTGATAGATCGAAGCTGGTTCTACGTTTTCTAAGCTTGAATCTCTTGTTTGTATGATTGTTTAGACTGAAGTTTAGATTTTGATTGTAATTGTGGTTTTTATTGAATATTTTGTTTGTATGATTGTTTAGACTGAAGTTTAGAATTTTAACTACATTATAAAAAGGGTCGGATATTGGATATCCGAGTTATCCGATCCGAAAATTTCAGATATTCGAAATTTTCGGATCGGATATCGAATATCAAATATTTGGATTTTCGGATACGGATATCCGATCCGAAATCCTATTTCGGATCGGTTATCTGATACGTGCTCACCCCTACTCATAGCCTCATGAGATTAAACAATTGAAGAGTATGTAGTACCTTTAAAAGAGGACATTTTTTTTGTATATCACCATATGTGACTACAATCAATCAGTCTATCACTAAGCTAGTTCATTACTATTTGTTTCACTTATGTACGTAGGTATGATAAGTCATCGATAATATTCAATTTGAATTTGGCTCCAAGATAAATATTACACAAGAATTGATTGAATGAGAAAACTAATTCTTCGCATTTCGTAATAATTAACCACACAATATGAGAAATGACACATGAATGGCTTGATATCGACCTAACAATAAGGTAAAAATTCAATAATTACTCTAGTTTTAAATGACCTTATTTGGATATTGAGTTGGTCAACTCAACCAAAATTTAGACAAAAAAACACGGAAAGGATTTGAATCGGAATTGACCAAATATTGAATCAACCTTATCTTAATCAAACCGAACTTGATCGAATCGAAATCATCCAAACCGAAATCAATCCAACCCAAATTCGTTCGACCTGAATTAACCCGGTCAAACCCGTTTTGCACCCGATTCGAATTTATCCGAACCGAACATGAACCGATCTGGAGTTGACCCGACCCATATCCGACCTGGACTCGATAAACCATACCCGAATTTTACCCGACCTGAACTTTACCCGACCCGACCCGATTCGAGTTAAAAAAAAATTTGACCTGAACATATCTGATCCGAACAGACCCGACCCGAATAGACCCGACCTAAACTTCACCCGGTTATCCGAATTGACACCTCTACACATATAAATATTTCAAACGTACATGAGATAAACACGCTTAAATGTTTCATTTTTTTGGCAGCACACCCTCATCGACCATTATATTACAAAGTTCAGTATACTTTAATGACAACATTTTAAATTATTTAAATGAATAGGAAATTATTTTAAATTTTTATGTAACTGAGTAACTAACGCAAAGAATTGTGTTGATTTTAGGTTGTTTGAATTTATGTTCGGTTAGGTTTTTGTCTTCTTTCTATAGCTTTAGGTTGGATTAAATTAGTTAATTAATTTTTTTTTTTTGACAAATAGGTAATTAATTTTCATATTTATGATGTATACTCGTATCTTTTATACAATAACAAATGGGTTTAGTATTGTTAGGGTGAGTTTATCCCCAGATCTAGACTCAAGCTCCAGACTTTGCCACATCAGCTTTCCACTAACTTTTAATTACTTTTTTATTATTCAGACTTATACAAGACTCTTTCCATTTTCACACATTATCCCAAAACTCACTCCAGGCTCACTTACCCTCCTAAATACTAACATTAATTATTCAACAACTTGTGTTGAGTTGGCAATATATTATTGGCCATGCAAAGTTTGTTAGCTTATTGCCCCCACATGAATAGTCTTAAGATGGGTTTTCATCCAAACCGCATACAAGACTCATGAGTCTTTTATGACATTATTGCCAAAGTCTTACATGAGACTCTTCTTGAGATTCCGCTTCAGACTTGCGATAAAGACACCCTATTTGCTGTTGTCATATTCGTATATTATGGGTTAGTTCGGTGCACTTTATTGAATTCAAGTGCTAGAGGCATAAAGCAGGCTAATCCATATTAACCAATTGCAATGTAGAGTTGTGAAAAAGTGCAAATCCACGATTGTTTTGTATATATATAAACATAATCATAACATGGCATTGTCATAAATATTTTAAAAGTTAACATTGCATCGCTGAGTTATGAACTGTACCATTGAGCAGTGAAATGGTAATATAAATGGTTATAAACTTATTTGACACTAAAAATGACTGAAATAGTATACTTTTAAAAATAATACATGTACTTAGGTAGTAAAATTGAACCTTTGATATTACGGTATTACAAATGGTTGTAAACTTGTAATGGTACTAAAATGAATACAGTGGTACACTAATTTTGAAAATTTAAATGCTATAACATGGTCCCATTATTTTATGTTATTGTACAAAATGTGTTAACTACCTCGGTTATACATCAAATTTTGCATTGTAGAGTTGTAGTAGACAAAGATGCTATAAGCCTATCTATAACAACATCCATGATAAATCATGATATTATGTCATTATAGCCTTTATAGGGGAGCTAAATGGGAGTGAAACCCTTAGTAGAATCAGAGTAGAAATTATAATTGTATCAAGATTTTAGATGTAGGTTCTTTTTTTATTTTTTATTTTTTTTAAAATTATAGTCTTATAGATAATTGTGATTGTATCATTTTGACTAGAATATATTAAAATCAGGATATAAGGCTACAATTTGTTCTTAATACCTTGTGTTTGATTCTTGGTATGAGCAATACTTACTTTCCAAGCTTATAGGTTTGAACATGAGTTTGGTGGAGTACATGGGCGAGTGCACGTTGGCCGTGGTGGGCACGGGTTGTGAGTTTGTGGTCTTTTTTAGGATCTATCCTTTTGTTCTCTCATTAAATACAGACAATTTGACTTGCTTATATTAGCGAGATCTCTTAAATCAATTTGATCCCTTGATTTGTTACCTTGAACTGATCTTTGAAACGATTTCATCTCCTTGCTAAGCCTATAAAAAACAAAACCATTACTCAACAAGTTATTAATATCTAGGCTATAATTATGTTTCCATTTGTCTATTGTGAGTGCTCACAATTCAAGAAGCCGTGCTAATCTTAATCGTCTTTTATTTAGGACAAAAGTTCATCTCAACATTGCGGCAATGCTTGATTTCATTATAGTCATATCTAGAGGAGGTTTTATTGGTTTGATATAATTGCAACAAATAAAACAACTTATTTGTTCTAAAATTTGCAACACAACATAGTGATGCCAAGAGTCATGTAAAAAGGATAATTAATCAAATCATTGGCAGACCATTTTCACTTCACTTGTAAAAATTATTTACTCTCTCCGTCCTTTATCTACATGTCTACTTTCCATTTTACACGGGAATTAAGGAACTTAGAGATTTCTTAAAAGTCATGATTGTGAAGTACAAATATGCATGTGGGGTTAGAGAGAGATAGAGAAAAGAAAAGGTAATTGGTAATTATTGAAGAGATGGAGAGAGAAAGTATTAAAAATGATATCAAAAGTACATAAAAAACAGGAAAATTTGTCAAAAAAAACCTTTTAAATGCACCATTTTGCGAAAAAAAACCTTTTAAAAGCTTTTTCGTAAAAGAAAACCCGAAATTAAATTTTTTTGCAAAAGAAAACTCAATTGTGAAATTTTTTTGTTGAAGACAACCTAATGCCTCTAATTCACTTAATTAAGCTCTAATTTCTTCTAATTATCCTCTAAGTCTCACTTAACCATTTATTAATTAATTTAACTTATAAATAAAAAAAAACCCCAAAAACCACCACCCCCACCACCAACCAGCCACTCCCTCCTTTTCCCCCTCCCATGGCAGCAGCCCTCTCCCCCGAACCGAGCCACCGCCTTGAACCCCCAACTCCCGGGGACCCACCTCGACGGCCAGCGCAGCCGACCCTGCTACCTTTCCTGCGCGCTTACCCTGCTGCAACCCTCTCCCCTCCCTAAACCCTAACATCGAGCAAATAATGGGTGTTTCCGGTCAGGTAGCACACTTCTTCTCCCTCTTCCTTTTCTCTCGTTGACTCACTCTCTCTCCCTCTTTCTCGCAGTCGCCGCCGCGTCGTCGTAATCTTCGAGGATCCTCTGCCACTCGATGTTGATGCTCTCATCGCTGTCTAAGGGGGGGAAGGTGGATGGTCGAGGTTAGGGTTTAGGGAAGGGGGAGGGTTGCAGCGAGGGTAAAGGGGAAAGGGAGATAGGCCGACCAGCGATTCAGGGCGGTGGCTCAGTTGGGGGGAGGGGGCTGCTGCCAGGGGAGGGGGGAGGGGGAGGAGACGGAGAGGTGGCTGGCTGGTGGAGTGGTGGTAGGGATGATATGGTGGTTTTTATTTAATTTAATTATAAAATGGCTAAGTGAGAGTTATAGGATAATTACAAAAAAAATTAGAGCTTAATTAAGTGAATTAGAGGCACAGGTTGTCTCAACAAAAAATTTAACTTTGGGTTTTCTTTTACGAAAAAGCTTTTAAAAGGTTTTTTTTTCGCAAAATGGTGCATTTAAAAGGTTTTTTTGACAAATTTTCCAAAAAAATAAAATAAAAGAAAATTGATGACAACTCATCAAATAGAGGGAATATTGTTAAAAAATATATTATTTAAATAGAAATAGGCCTGTAATTTTGAAATTCCCAAAAAAAAGCAGACATGTAAATAAGGGACGGAGGGAGTAATAAAAATAATGTCAGTTCAAATAAAACATCAGTAACTTCAACATTTTATCTCCACTGGTAAGCAACTAAGCGCTATAATTTTGTTTTTTTTTGGTATATTAAAGCGTTTTGGGGGTTAGATTAGCAACCATAAATACTTCAGTAGATTACGCTGTTTCCTAGGCGGAATTCTGTAGGGTTTATTTCTAGGCTTGATGATTCCTGTAATGGGGTTGTGGAGAAGTTTATATTTGTGGAGTATCGCTATATTGGGTTTAATTCTGGTTGTTTGTTGTGTTTTTCGTCGGATAGGAGCTGCTGGGTTATTAAACGTGCTTATCATATGCCTGGGATGGACGGATGGAGGGATGATGGGGTGTTTGAGTTTGCTGGACGTTTGTTTTGGGTTGATTTAAGTCGTGGGATGATTACTTGGGATGATGATGATCCTTTTCGCAGTGTTGAGAATGGGGAGAGGGCTCAATGTAGGTCCATTATTGTTCATTTAATCGTCAAATGAAGAAGAAAAACTAACCTATACTTTGTTTGGTTTTTTTTTTTTTTTTAAGTGTAGCAACTTGATATGAAACTTTAACCACTAATATCGATAACTCTAATTTATTAAACATGCTACTTGCTTGTTAATCAAATACGAAGTATAACTAACTAAAAAACAGTAACTATCCTTTGGCTTGTCTTCTCTCTTAAACTCATCATCTCCGCAACAGATGAAACAAGTCACGGTGGCTTCTTGAGACACTGAACACTAGATAGATGAGCACCACAAATTGATGAGAATAGATCTAAGGATCACCTGGAATCGGGAGGGAAACTTTAATCATTTGAGCTATCCCTCACTATCTCACAAAAAACATATTCATGTGAGATGTTAAATGTGTAATTTTATAATATCAACTTCTTAGAATTTTTGTTCATTGATACTGATGGTTAAAGACATGTATTGATTGAACGCCCCATCAAATAAAATAAACATTATGTTATGGGACACTAAGATTAACATTCATTCCTTGTCTCACATAATTTCTCAAATCTTCCACTTTTTTAATGTTAGGATATGATTTAATTTGCTAAAATAGTATTGATATGATTTAATAAATACAATAATATCTTTACAATTTATATGGTAGTATATGTCTTAGGAAGATTATTTTGAATTGTAATGATGTAATATTAGGTATCTAAACTTATAAGGACTAGGTTGAACCGATTGATTTGAAATTACCGATAGAAAAATGACTGAAATTAATAGAATCAAATAATGATTGAACTGAAATAAAATAATAAATACATTATATAAAGGTTACGTTTACTCACTAGATGATTTTTTTGATATGATCTGATTTCAAATACAAATTTGACCTTAAGTGTATCTGAAATTAGTAAGATAAAGAATTATTACTCCGTAAATAATACTACGTATGTCAATAGCTAGATTCACATTAATATGCATTCTCCAATTTTATAAATTACTAAAGATACGGAGTTTTCAATAATAAATAAAGGGTAATGCTATATGCAGCCTTTAGGGTTATAAATAAGCATTTAATAACTTTCCTTATTTGGTATTAATTTAACAATGCATGACAAATCACGTGCAAATTAGTGTAATTAATATTAATTTTTTATTTGTTTTTATTCATTTTTAGGAGAGTTGTTATTTGTTTTTTAACTCCTTATATAGTTATATGTAATCTTAAGGGGCATGTATAACATTTTTCATAAATAAATACAGATAAAAAAATAGTAACAATCGAGGTTGAATTTACCTTTTAAGTCCAAATAAAAATCAGGGCCCAACTTAACTAACAATCCGGCCATAAAAAAAAAAAAATTTGTATACTATATAATCATTTTTATCGAGAGAGAAAAATTAACAATATATGAAACCCAAGTTTTGATCGAATTTTACCAAAAATTATCGTAAACAACGGCGAGATGGAATTGATAATCGACTTCATCATCTTCTTCAATTTCTCTGGTATTTTTCTGAAATTATTCTTCATTTTTTAAAATTATTTTTTGCCAAATTTAGAATCTTTTATGTTCTTGTTAGTTCTGAAGATAGTCTATTGGGCTAAATTTTCCACCATTGTAAAATGAAAAATGATAATTGATTAAGCTCCACTTACGAAACCCTGATTGAAAATCTTTCAGTTTCACTGTAATAATTGTTGTAATCTGGGCAATGTGGAATTTTAATGGGTATCTGTGAGCCGTAGATTATGTCACAATTGTTGAGGAGAAGACTCCAATTTAATGGGTTCGAAATTAGGCAAACTATTTCTTTGAGAGTAATGTAAGTAGAATTATTAGTAATAATTATATTCATAAAAAAAAAATCAAAAACAAGATGAATAAGTAGTAAGAAATTAGAATTCAGAAACTGAAAAAAAGGCGGTGGTTTGGCACAAGGAGGCCAACTTGATGAAAATTTAGTGGTTGAAGTTAGAGTTGAGAGAAGGGTTCACAATGAATTTAACTAAGAGTGATGAACTAAAATTTCACATTAATATATAAGTAAATAAAACCCATGAGAAAAAACAAAGAAAGTGAGTTGACCTAGGACAAAAGACAGCAGTCAGCAGACTTCGCTTTGAGAGTGAGAGACCTCGTCACGAGTCCAACCAGCAACCGCCGATCAACGAACAGTCGATCACCATGGATTTTCGCTTCCGATTAGTCCCGTTTCGCAATCCCTATTCCCCGATTCCGTAAGTTCTTACCCTAAGTCTTAGATCTTATTATAATCATTTTTTTTTCCCTCAAGTTATTATCTTTAAGTTCAATTGTTTAACTTGTAAAGTCTAAACCCTATTTTGTTAGAGTTGTAAATTCTTAATCGTTTGAGTTTTGTTATGTTGTTTGATGATTTAGATCATATATTTGTATTGTTGTATGATATGGTTATGACAATTAATTAATTGATTGATATTTTTCAATTTGATTAGGACATTTCAAATGATCACCTAATTCAATACAATGGAGAAAACAACCCAATCTTTTAACTCTTTGCTTCTCTTATTTCATTTGAATGTCACAAAAATTTTAATTAAATTTATAATAGGATCTTTTGTCATACTTTAATTATATTAATCCTATATACTCCGCATGCATTGGTGCTGATTAAGGAGAATTAATAATTATAAATTATTAGCAAGAGGAAAATTTGTACTCGTAATTAAATATTAAGTCAAGCTTTTGACCTTCCGTTGTTATTATGTCAACCACTTTTTTATTATTTCACGTCAACATTGTAATATCATTAATTTAACCGCTTACGTGGACTATTAGATGGTAAAAAGGCTTAATTTTTTTTTCCCCAATATTTAATCCTCAACTATTACACCCTTCTCATTGTTCTTCTACCCCATTTTTCCTCATTCTTATTTCTTCTACTTCTACATTTTTCCTCTTCCTCATTTTTCTTATTTCAGTATTAGGCTAAAATGAAGCAACAATTTGTTGTTTAATATTGTACCCTCCTTTGAATAACCACCCCCCCCCCCTAATAATTCAATTTAGAATATTCAAGTGTGATTCGAAGAGGAAGAGGATGATGAGAAAAGAGGTGGATTGGTTGTGGTGTGTTGGTGGTGTGAGCATGCGTGGGTAACGAGTGAGCAGTGGTCGGTGAGGGTGGGCTGTGGCTTTTAGAGTAAGAGGAAGGAATAAAGGGGTATGTTTAATGGAGTTAAGAGTATGAAGATGAAAAGAAGAATGGAGACAAGAAGGAGATTGTGAGTTTGCAAATGGAGTTAAATGCCAACTTGATATTTCATCTCAAAATTTCAGAAATTATAAAGGGTTTATCCAGTTAACCGATTACCGATAAAAAAAATAATAAAAATTAATGCTACTTCAAAGTTGACGTGCCAAAATAATAAAAAAAGAGACGGTCAAAAGGTTGACTCAGTATTTACGTATTTTTCCTTAGCAATAAGTGACATTTTTACCACTTATATTACTTATATTTAAGACTATTTTTATTTTCTCTTAATAATAATTTTAGCTTACATTTAGGCTCTGTTTGTTGACGGAAAACGTTCTGAAAAAAAGGATTTTTCCATTTTGCATTGTTTGATTAGTAAAGATGATTTTTTTTTTTCCAAAGGTAGTAAATAGTTCTCCTAGGAATGCAAAATGGTTTTTTTTTTTTTTTAATGAAAGCATGTCACATTTTCCTCTTTAATTATTTATTACATCTCATATCTCTCTTGTCATTCATCTCCTCCCTTCCACTTTTATTTCCCTCTTATTCTTTACAATTTTTCTCGGTAAGTCTTCAAACCAAGGAAACTATTTTTACAATTGTGTTTTTCTTTGAAAATTATTTTCCATGAAAGCTCATTTTCCAAAAAAATATTTTTCGTTAATATAAACAGAGCCTTAATGCTCCTTACTTCCTTAGTCCTTCCATGTTACCCGGTTCTCCTTCCCCCAAAAAACTTCATTCTTATTATATCTTATTATACTGTAAAATATTGAGTAAAAAAAACTACTCTCCTCCATGGTTCACCCTCTAGTCTCCACCACTGGTAAATGAAGTATAATACCTCTATTGATTCTTCTTCAACCTTTCTTGTAAATTGGTTCTTCAAAAACCATACTCAAAACTGCATGCTCAAATTTTATTGTCTTTCACCCATCAATCAACAAGCTAAGCCACCGCACGCCAAGGGCGGAGCTACATTGGTGCACATGCATCACCAGTAAAAAAAAAAAAAAAGAGGTTCAATTTATATATATATAAAAAAATCAATCAAAGAGACCGGTTATTCTTAGATGCTAGCAGTACCACTCCTTTTTCCTTACGAGTCGTCTCTAAGGTTTTTTTTTTTTTTTTTTTTTTTTTTTTTTTTTTTTTTTGCTACTATGAAGAGTAATGGGTGTATACAATTTGTTTGTTACATGTGTTAGAAACATGTTATTTGTAGTATGTTCGTCTTGTAAGATGAATTTTTTAAGTACTATTTGATTGTAGAATGGATTATTGTATCTTATTTTTGGATTGAAATCAATTTGACGGTAATATAATAATTTTTTTTATAAAATTTTAAATTGAAATCAATTATGAACTAGACCCGAAAAAAATAATTTATTTTTATGATCAATAATTGATGGTGACTCACTGACTCACCATCTCGGAAATCCAGGATCGATCACTGCCGCGCGTAATAAATTATTACATGTCAAGTACTATCAAGGGCTTGTCGAAAATAGCACCCAAAGCATCAAGTTGTTGTAGATTATCATAATCACAACTTTCCCGAAACGGTTGATAGGGTTTTTTGTAATATAATTGACGGTGAAACCAGTGATTTACTGTTGTCCCAATGATGCCGTGCTTCCATGTATAGAGGCAATGAAATGCTAAATGGTTGTGCCAGTGTTAGTTCGAAAGAGGGTCTTTTTTTTTGTCTATTATGATGACCTGGTTGTGTGTTGGCGGTTGGGACTATGGAGGGGGCGGGTGATGGTGTTAGTGGTGTCTACATTCTAGAGGTAGTGATGCGTTAGAAGATGGAAGTTGGTGTTAGTCGTCAGTGATGATTGGTCGTAGGTTTTGTGGTAGCTTCAAGAATTTGTGTTCTACAATATAGGAATATAGAGTGAGAAAGAAATACGGAGTGAATGCTAGCATGGTTAATTATGAAAAAAGAAGTGAATTAAATGCGATGTCACTTTGGAAATTCCTATCCCTACCTTATAAAAAGTATAAGCTAACTCTTAGAAATAGTGTGCTACTAACTATATTCTCAAATATGTTTACAACAATGTGTACAAAAATGTGTATTTACATTTTTACCATCATTAATATGTTTACCATCATTAATTAATAACATAATAATAAAATAAACACCACGAATGACACGTGTCACTTTCTGGTACTGTATTCTCCCTCCAAAACTCCCCCCTTCTTTTTTAGTTAAAATATTTTATTTTTGGAATATTTGTATAATACAACTATCATAAACTATAATAATATTATTCCTAATTTAATCTTATATATTATCTTTTATAATAATTGTGTTCCTTTTTATTTTGTGTTCTATTTACTTAAAATAGTTACACAATATTTTGAGACCTTTATAATTAAAGAAGAATAAACTATAATTTAGAAGGTTAAAATGTGATGGAGAGTATAAAATAACGGAGCCAAATATATAATATTATCATTTAAATTATCATTATATATATATATATATATATATATATAAATTTAAGATAATATAGTTACATTAACATATAAAAATTAGGAGCAAATTAAACCTCTTCCTAATTAGCTCTCATTTCTTCTTGATTTCTTTTATACATCTACAATAATGGGATTCAGACCATCAATAACTCACAAGCATTCATGGGGGACATTGTCAAATTAATCGCGATGAGGCTCGTTACTTTTTTCATCCTCTTGGTAAGCAATAATTGTTATTACTTGATTTCTATAGCCGAATTTTTTTTATTTTTTATGATATCTCTTTATGGATGTTATTTTGAAACCCTCCCCAGTTATTGTGTGTAACTATATTGTTTAGTGATTGGAGAGGATTCTCGTTTCTATGATTGAAATATAATCGTGCTTTTGTTACATGTTACAGACACTTGTTGTGTCGTTGTTGCCTATCGTTATCAATCCAATATGGCATCATATAACGAAAAATATAGTTAAAATTGTGGAGATGGAAGCAAGCTATGATCGTTATGAACATATTAAAAAAGTTCAAGACGTAGCAAAACTAATATCACCCATTAATTCATCAGCCGTCAACCTAGCAAGTGTTTTGGACACTAATAATACGCGTGACAAACTTTTATTTTCCGAGATTAAAAAGGAGGTTTGTAATCATCCTTTCCCGTGTTGTTTTTGAGATTTGTTATGCTACGGAGTTTTTACATAATCTTGTTTTATACTATGTATATTTTGGATTTACTAATTTACCAAGATGATTATAGCAAAATTAGTGATTTTATGAATGATTAATTCATGAGTATTTGTCAAAAAAAAATCATGAGTAATAAATATTTGTGTCTATTGCAAAGTAAACTTTTTTATTTGAAATGCCGCCACAATCTCCATTATATATATTATATATAAGAATAGCAAAAAAAATTCTATAGAAAAATAAAATCACCCAATTCTATAAATAATATAATAGTTTCCTCAAAAAAAAATCTCAATTACCTTTAACTATGTTTTTTTTGGTGCAAATTTTTTTTTTTTTTGATTTATATAATCCATAACTATTTGCTACTAAAAAGAATAAGATATTATACAGTAACTTTTCGTATTACAATATTTTCTAGTGATATGACTACTCATTAGTAGGATGGAAATACTTGTAGTATTAAAGAGAAGATCATTTACAGCTTTTAGCCTTAAAACATATTACTGTATGAATAATAGTTTGTATTACTCCATATAATTTATTGATAAAAAATACTATATAAATTAAAAGGCTATTCATAGCAGCTCATAAATTGAGAACGAAATCAATCAATCTAATAAATTTAAGAAACTTCACTTTATTAAAAATGATTTGATTCTACTATAATCAATTATATTGAAGGAAACTAGAATCAAAATCATTTGCAGTATTACAAAATCAAACCAACATTTTCTTTTTTTTTTTTTTTCAAAAGAAAATACTTTACAAAAATTTATACTATATATTAAAATTATTATGAAGATGATTATTTAACCGTAAGAAAGTGTATCGCTACATGCCTACAAACATTTATGCAACATATCTAAAATATATCAATTTGACTTATGTTTATTATGTAGTATAATCACTTAATCAGTACTCTATTATTTCCGGAAATATTAGTCCTTATGTCCGTAAATAATACGAGTAGTAATCTTTTATGATAAACATACTTTCGCGACCCCACTTATATGAAGTTAAAATCATGGTAAATTCTATATGTAAAAGTTGGATAATGTGGCTATTGATTATGAATCGATCACTATTTATTTAATTTTTATCATATACTCCGCAGCTAACGGCTTCAAAACTTTTTCAGGTTGCGCCTGCATTATTTATATCACTATTGGTCACACCTCATACAATCCAAGCTTCATACATTGGATTGGATGGTCTCTTCTTCTCTTACATAAAAAATAATGATCAAATATTTGCATTATACTCAAACTCAACTTTTAAAAATAATCTTGATCATTACACTTGGTATACTCAACTAGTAAAATCTATTAGTGGAGAACTACTAGGAGAAGCCAAGATCACAAAACCCCTTATTGTAATCAATGAGACATGGTTCCAAAAAGCAATGGATAGCTCGAATGGCTGTGCATCGTTAGGGTGTGCCGTGTGGATGGATTACTAACGACGAAAATGAATTGTCAAGTCTATTCTTAGATACCGCGAGACTAGGTAGTGTTGGAGCTATCTCTCTCGGGTTTTCAAGTGATGAAATAACAACCATCTTCTCTAGCACAGATTTTTTGGGTGCAAGCTTGTACATGGCAACCCTTGGTGATGACAAGGTACTAATAGATGATATAAAAGACGCCGACATTACAATTATGAATGGCAAAGCAGCTTTGGTGCAAGCTAGCAACAAAGCTAATCTTGGTGAAATTTCATGCAAATCTATCGACAATGGTGTTACAAATGTTAGTGGTACGTCCATAGACATTGGAGGAGCCAATTTCATTTTCTATTGCTCGTCGATTGATGTTGCAAGGGTGCCAATGGTACGTGTTCTTGTCGTTTCAGAATATATGTAAAATACATTGTCAATATTACATATACATAGTATTGTGAAATTTTCATTAATGATATGTGTATAACATGATATTAAAAATACAAAATATTTTTGTACACGTATATAATAGCCTTGGTTTATTTTCTTGTAGGTATATGTATTGGCTTATCCAAGCAATAGATTAATTAGCATTGTACACAATCACACAAAGGTGGAACTAATACTTCAAATTATCATGGTGGTTGACATGGTAATTTATGTGTTCGCGTTTGTAACTTTGATTGTTAGAGCGGCTAGGAGGGAAGTGCACTTGTGTGCAGCGTACATGAGGGAAATGGAGAAAACAACACAAGCTGAGAGAAAGAGCATAAAGCAAAGCTTGGCCTTTGCGAGTGCTAATCATGATGTTCGCGGTTATTTAGCTTGCATTAAGGGCTTGACCGAACTCTCTGCTGCTGATCTTCCTCCCTCTTCTGAAGTTGCTTCTAGCTTGAGGAAGATAGATACTTGTGCTGAGGACCTTTTAGGTAATATAAGCATAATATATACACACATTTTTTGTTCATATATACCAACTAATTCATCTTTTGTGTTTTTTTCTTGTTGAAATATGCAGCATTAGTGAATTCCATCCTAGATTTCAGCAAGATAGAAGCAGGGAAAATGCAATTGGAGGAGAATGAATTCAACTTAGCACAACTAATTGAAGACGTAGCTGATTTACACCACCCGGTTGCAATGAAAAAGGGAGTAGAGGTGATCCTAGACCCTAGTGATGGTTCCATCTTCAGATACTCCCAGGTAAGAGGTGATCGCGGCAAGCTCAAGCAGATCCTTGGCAACTTGCTAAGCAATGCTGTCAAGTTCACTTCACAAGGGAACATTTGCATCACATGTCATTCAAAGAAACCAAGCTTTGAGAACTCTATCATTGCCTCAAACAGGAACAACTTGTTAAACAGGTTGTCGAGCTTCTTCCATAAGAATAAGCGTGCATATAATGATCTCGAAGACATGAAGACAATCAAGCAAGATCCAAACTGTATGGAGTTTGAGTTCCAAGTGGAAGATACAGGTCCCGGGATCCCTAAGGAGAAGCGCCATTTGATCTTTGAGAACTTTGTTCAAGTCAAAGAAAACTCTGCTGAGCAAGTTGGCACTGGTTTGGGTCTAGGCATTGTCCAATCTTTGGTAAGTATGTTTAACACTAAAATTCATTTGGCAATAAGTTATTGATATTTTCATGCATCAAATCAACAATTAACTTGTATTTTTTATTATAATTCAGTGTTTGATGTAACACTAACGAGGTTTATGAAAATATTTTGCAGGTTAGATTGATGGGAGGAGACATAGAAATTGTGGACAAAGCCAACGGTGAGCAAGGGACATGCTTCAAGTTCAACATCTTTTTAATAGTACAAGACGAATGTTTGGATAACCCAAGGCAAGAATTGACTGAGCATAGGGAGATCAATTCGGGCTCAGGGTTAAGCACGTGTGTTCGTAGTCCTAGAGGTGATAAGTCTATAGTGATTCTCTTAATCAAGGATGATGCGCGGAGAAGAATGGTCCATAGATACATGGAGAGCCTCGGAGTAAACTTGAAGGTCCTAAGCCATGGGAAGCAACTCTCTTCGAATCTTAAGAAGATCAAATCTATGCTCATTGAGCCTCAATATAACAACTCCGTCAGGGAGGTCAGACACGAGCCCTCCTCGAGGAGCTTGCTTGAGTAGCAACTCTGAACGCAGTGGTAGAGGTTGGTCCAAACTCAATCCTCTTAGTACAATGGATGGTACCAATGAAGTACTCCCGGTGTACAAAAGGTCCACTATTCGAGGGTCAGTGAACTGCATACTACTTGTAATAGATTGCAATGCAGGAGATAATTTTCAGAAAATGCAGAGATCAGTATCTGAGTTTAGAAAGGACCTTTACATGACCTGCATCAAGGTAGTTTGGCTCGATAGGCCTGACACTCGTAGAGCTCACTTCCAAGGTTTGCAAGATGAGAGTCTCCCTTGGACAGATCTTATCATATCAGAGCCTCTTCATGGATCACGCTTATTAAGGATTATAAGGCTTCTCCCTGAGTTTGGGGGAGATTCTATAAGATCTCCTTCTTATGGGAGATCAAAGAGGTCCAACATTGCAATTCTAAGCAACACACATTCGAATACTGAAGAAGATATTGGTGAGTCTAGTAGTGGGGAGATTAAGCTAGCTAGGAAAAGGCGAAGCTTGAAATTTACTACTTGTTGGGATAACTTTGCTAATGAGCAAGATATCCCTCAAGTTCTAAGGAGCTCTAGCAGCGAGAAGTCTTCATCGATGACTAAAACTACTCAAACAGGAGAAATACAAGAAGTTCCAAGGTAATGTAATGATGTATATTCACATTTCAAGGTTGTGTTTGGAGAGAAAATGTTTTCAATTTCATATTTTTGTGTTAACAGCAATGTAGAGATCCAGAAATCTCCCTTGGAGGGGAAAAAAATTCTGATCGTTGAAGATCATTTCTTACAACGAAAGCTCGCTGAAACAAGTGTTAAGCGTTTAGGTGCCGAACTCAGACATGTGGAAATGGCGAAGAAGCTATTGAGGTGGTCTGCAAAGCATTGAGCAACCAACCAAGTGGAGAACCCTTTAAGTTTCCATATGACTTTATAATCATGGACTGTCAGGTGAGCTACACGTATTTCGTATTTATATTTTGTTCACCTAATAACTTACAGTAAATCATAGTGATGATTAACTTGAGGTATCTTGTGTTTAATATTACAGATGCCAGTTATGGATGGTTTTGAAGCAACACAAAAAATCCGCGAAGAAGAGAAGAAGTATGGACTACACATTCCGATTATCGCGCTGTCGGCTCATGAGGTGGATGGAGAAGAAGGCAGGAAGATTGCTGAGGCTGGAATGGATTTCCACCTGACAAAGCCACTCCGTGGTGAAGAACTGCTAAAAGTAGTACAGCATCTGTTAATATAAGAGATTTGTATAGATTATACATGTACTTTAATTATGTATTAGTAGGTCCTTATATATGTGCCTGCAAAATCTGGATTTTTTGCATTGTGCAGGTACTTGGGTTTTGTAATCTGCATGGATTATATAAATATATGCAAGCGTTTTAAAAATCATATCTTAAGTACGTAGTACTACATATTGATAAACATTTAAAGTGGAAGGATTATTTATGTTATGTTTATTTTTCTTTTAAGATTCCAAATGAGAGCTAATAAAAAAAAAAAAAAATTAAGACTTTTCTTCGAATTTTTAATACACCACTTCTAGAAATTGTATTCATTGTATTGACTAATAAGTGGCAACAAAACATTAAAAGAAAAATCTTAAAATCATCAGCCTTCATTTATGAAGGCCATTTTCCTCAAAGACGGAAAAAGTTCACAAGAAAAGAGCATCTCTAATTATTGTAGTTAGGGATTTGGTAGTAATTTAGAAAAAATTTCTAACTACTCGCTTGACTATTGGAGCTAAAAATGAAATTAGCTTGACCAAGCTATATTGCTTGAGAAAAACCTTGCCAAAAAGAGAGGTTAATATATTAATAAAGTTAAATTTAAAACTCTAATTAAGAAATTAAAGCTCTTTTAAAACATAAGTTAGTAGCTAAGACACAAACTAGCTATAAAAGAAATTAGTTTAAAATTTTTTGTCTTAACAAGCTAATTTGCTAATTAACTTGCCGTTGAATTACGAAAGTATATTGAATCATTACGGTATTAGTATATTACCCTTTGTACCTCTTTAAACATCAACACATATCTTAGAAAATACAAGTATTAAATTTGAATAGATATTAGATTCTCAAAGAATGCTTTCAAGTTCAACTTAATTTCAACAGCTCTATCAAATTGACTAATATGAAGTATGGCCCTGTTCTTTTGAGCTTCAGTACAGAGCAGATTTCAGCTAAACAAAGCAGGTGTCAACAAAGCAGGGTAGATTATGAATACTCACCAGAGCGAGGCTCAGCAAAGCAGAATAGGGCTTAACAAAGCAGAACACAAAAGCTCAAAAGAACACAAAAGAACAGGGCCTGCATCATATTTACCACTTAACAGCTCTGTCATCTTACCCAATACAAATTAAAGTGTTTTAGAACCATGATTTAGTAATATGTGCTATATTATAACTACTTCGCAGTACGCACATAGTTTATCAATATACCTGCCCAAAAAATGCCTTCAGTAAATTCAACACAGCATGAAAAAAAAAAAAAAAACTAAAAGTCCGTAACTATCACTGGAGTTGCACACTTCAATTAGAACTAATTTTGCCTTCAACAGACCTTGTCTTAGCCGGAAAACTAGGAAGTAGTGAAGGCCAATTCAAGGACTCTTTCCATACTCCCTCTGTAACCTCTGTTCCATAACATCTAACCATTCAAATAACTATTTTAATTATATAAAATATTCTGTACATCACTGAAACGTATGCTATCAATTAGAAATCCAAATATCAATGCAATAATTAACACCTAAAATTTCTGCATAAGCAACATTTTGTATGGAATGGCAAGAACACTTCATAGCCTAGTCATTGACCATATTAGACAATAAAGAACTCAATATACTGAAATTGGAACATAGGCTAAAGTTTAATTGATATTTCAATGAAGCTAAGGACTGTACATATCAAAGGCGCCAAAGCTTGCATACCAAACATTGCTAAACGCCTAATCAAGCATGTCAGGATACACCAAATCCTCTCGCAAGGAGATAACAAACACCAGTCAACTATAACTATAACCTAGCTTAGTTGCTATCTGTCAAGTATAAATTGTTACTATTTTCTTTTCCCTTCACTTCCCACCTAATCTCTCATGGGGTACAGGGGATGACACAGTTGGAGCTGCCATACATTTTCACCCATAGCAGTCAGCAGTTCCCAACACAGTTACTTATGATACGAAGGACGCACCTAGAAAGTAGAAATATTTGAAAACTCAAGTTTCTAACCAAGCTAATGTCCCCAATATCAAAATTTTGCCCGGCAATTCTCCTGCTGAAGGTGCAAGGTACGTTATTTTTTTCCTGCATATTGATATATACATAAATCAATAACCATTAAGGATACGTTATTCATATATCAATACATATAAGCAAGGTACATTATGAGGTTCACTTACATAAACATAAATCAATAACCATCCAAAGAACCACCAACCTTTGAACATCAACATCAGTAATATATATAAACCCAGCAACATTACTGCAACCATGGAAACAAATAACATCAATTGTCATTGATATAATATAGGAAAATTTAATAACAAAAAACCAACCTTTGCTCCGTTCTCTTAAAATAGACCAACCTTTAAATCTTTCCAAAATAAACTAAAGTTCGTATTTTTTCTCTTGTAGCAAACCAGGTTGCAATCCACGTGTCATGTCCTCATTGGTTAATTTTTTTTTTTTCAGAAAAAAATTTGATAATTAACATAAGGGTATTTTGATTTTTACCACCTTCAAATAACCAAATAATTGAATTTACCACCTCCAAAAAAAAAAGATTTACTTTACCACCTCATAAAAAAATTAAACATCAGTTTTACCACCAATCACCTCCAACTAACGGATTCCGTCCAAAAATCCGTTAGTGGGGCCTACCTTGCACACGTGTCACCATATTATTGGGTAAGCTTTAGAAAAAAAATTAAAAAAAACAAAAAAAAAATTAAAAAACCTCATCCATCAATTGGTGGCTGCTGCCACCGTCGAGACCCCACCACCGGACCGACTACGACCAGCCCCACCACCTGACCGCTACGACCAGCCCCCACCACCTAACCGCTACCAGCCACCGTCGGGACCCACAGCCACCACACCGATTTCGACCTCAAAACCCTAGCCACCACCTAACAGCTACGACCAACCCCACCACCTAACCGCTACCACCGCACCGCACACCACAGCCACGCCGATTTCGACCCCCTTTCCACCAATTTCCGACCTCAAAACCCTAGTCAACACCTAATAGCTACGACCAACCCACCACCTAACCGCTACCACCGCACCGCACACCACAGCCGCGCCAATTTCGACCCCCTTTCCACCAATTTCCGACCTCAAAACCCTAGTCAACACCTAATAGCTACGACCAACCCACCACCTAATCGCTACCACCGCACCGCACACCACAGCCGCACCGATTTCTACCCCTTTCCACCAAATTCCGACCTCAAAACCCTAGCCACCACCTAACAACTACGACCAACCCCACCACCATCCAAACCCAGACCAGAAACAACCGCCACCCAGACGCGAAACCACCCCGACTCAAAACCACCACCACCCACCAGAAACCACGCCAGCCAGACGCGAAACCATCGCGACTCGAAACCACCACCACCCAGACGCGAAACCCACACGAAATTCCGACCAACCGAGGTAGTTGATTTCGTTGCTGGTTGGTTGACATGGAAGATCGGGGAAGATGAAGAAGAAACGTCAAAAATGTGGGCCCTACTAACGGATTCATGGACGGAATCTGGTAGTTGGTGGTAAAATCGATTTTTTGGAAATTTTGGTGGTGGTAAAGTAAATCTTTTTTTTTTGGAGGTGGTAAATTCAATTATTTGGTTATTTGAAGGTGGTAAAAATCAAAATACCCTTAACATAATTATTTATTTTAATTTTTAAAAAAATCTGATAATTTAAAAAAATAAATAAACACCCTCCCATTCCCCACCACTGTCCGCCCTCCC